TTAAGTTTGATATAGGTTCCATTTGTCTATTTTTTCTTTTGTTTCCTGAGCTTTTGGTGTTTTATCTAGAAAAACATTAACAAATTCATTGTCATGAATCTTTTTCCCCTGTGTTTTCTTCTAGAAGTTTTATAGTTTAAGTATTTAATATATTTGAGTTAATTTTTGTATATGATGTGAGGTAAAGGCCCAACTTCATTCTTCTGCATGTGGATCTCAGTTTTTTCAATTGTTAAAGAGACTGACGTTTTTCTGTTGTGTAGCCTCGGCCTCTGTCCAAGCTCACTTGACATGACACATGAGTTTGTTTTGGAGCTCTTTTTTCTGTTACTTTGGTCAGTATGTCTGCTTGTATGCCAGTACCACTCTTTTGATTACTGTTCACTGAAAACAGTACACTGTTTTGAATATTGTAGCTTTGTATTATATTTTGATATCAGGAAGTATGAGGCCTCCAACTTTGTTCTTCTTTTCAAGATTGTCTTGGCTATTCAGGGTCCATTGAAATTCCATATGAATTTTTGGTTCATTTTTTATATTTCTGCAAAAACATGCCACTGGGGTAGGGATTGTATTGAATCTATACATCACATTGAGTAGTATGGACATTTTTAACAATTAAGTCTTTCAATTCATGAACAAAAGATGTCTTTCCACTTATTTGTGTCTTCTTTAAGCAATGGTTGATAATTTTTCAGTATATAAATCTTTCACTTTTCCTTAGTTAAATTTATTTCTAATTTATTCTTTTTGATGCTATTGTAAGTGGGATTGTATTCTTAATTTCCTTTTTGGATTGTTAATTGTTACTATATAGAAACACAACTGACTTTGCATGTTGCTTTTTTATTTTCCAATGTTATTGAACTGTTTATTAATCCTAACAGTATTTTTGTGGAATCTTTAGGGTTTTCTACATATTAAATCGTGTGTTCTGCAGAGATAATTTTGCTTCTTCTTCTTTACTTATTTGTGTATATTTATTTCTTTTTCTTGCCTAATTTCTCTAAGACTTATGGTATTATGTTAAACAAAAGGGCAAGTGAACATTGTTGCCTTTTTTCCTGATTTTAGAGGAAAAGTCTCCAGTTTTTTAGATTGAGTACAATGTTAGCTATGGGTTTCATCATATTGAAGCAATTTCTTTCTATTCCTACTCTGCTGAGTGTTTTCTTATCATGAAAGGATGTTGAAGTTTGTCAGATGTTTTCTCTGCAACAACTGAGATATTCATGTGGTTTGTGTCCTTCATTCTGATAATGTAGTGTATTACATTAATTGTTGTATGTTGAACCATCCTTGCATTCCAGAAATAAATTCCACTTTTTATGGTGTATTCTTTTTATAATGTGCTGTTGAATTTGGTTTGCTATTGTTGAGCTGAGATTTTTTGCAGTACTATTCATCAGGGATGCTGACGTGAATTTTTTTTTTTTTTACAGTATCTTTGTCCAGCTTTGGTATCAGGCTAAAGCCAATCTCATAAAATGATTTGGGATATATTCCCCACTCTCAATTTTTGAAACAGATTTAAGAAGGATTGGTGTTAATTCTTCCAATGTTTGACAGAATTATCCAGTGAAACCATGTGGTACTGGACTTTTCTTTGTTGAGAGGTTTATAATTATATGTTTGATCTTCTTATTAGTTATTGGGCTGTTCAGATTTTTAATTTATTCATGATTCGGTCTTACTAAGCAGTATGTTTCCAGGAATGTATCCACTTCTTCTAGGTTATTCAATTTGTTTGGGTAATATTGTTCATATTAGTTTTTTTATCATCTTTTTTTATTCCTGTGGTAACATTTGTAATGTCCCCATTTTCATTTCTGATTTTAGTTATTTTGAGTCTTCTCTCTTTTTTCTTAGTTAATCTAGCTAAGCATTGCCAATTTTGTTGATCTTTTTTAAAAAAACCACAACTTTTAATGTCTTTTTTCTGTTTTTTCTACACATTATTTTATTTATTTCTACTCTGATTTTTATTATTTTCTTCCTTTTGCTAACTTGGGGTTTATTTGTTCTTCTTCTAGTTCCTTGAGAAGTAAAATTATATTGTTAATTTGAGATCTTCCTTTTTTAACAGAAATTTTACCACAGTAAACTTCCTTCTTAGTACTGATTACACTGCATCTCAGACATTTTGATATGCTGCGTTTTCATTTTAATTTATCTCAAGATATTTTCTAATTTCCTTTGTGATTTCTTCCTTGACGTATTGATTGTTTAAGAGTGTGTGGCTTAATTTCTTCTTATGTGTGTATTTTACAGTTTTCCATTTGTTATCATTTATAGCTTTATTTCATTTTGGTCAGAACAGAAGTTTTCTAGGCTTTCAGTCTTCTTAAAATTTTAAATACTTGTTTTCAGCCTATCATGTGGTCTAAACTGAAGAACACTCCATGTACCCTTAGGAAGAATATGTATTCTGTTGTTTAGTGGAGTGTTCTGTATATGTTGGTTAAGTACTATCAGTCTGAGTTTTTCAAGTCCTCTTTTCCCTCATTGATTTTCTGTGTGGTTGCTCTATTTATTATTGAAAGTGGAGTACTGAAGTATTTTACTATTAGTACTATTAGCACTATTACTATTAGTGGATTGCTGTCTATTTCTCTCTTCAATTCTGTCAAAATTTATTTCACTTAAGAGCTCTGGTGCTAGGAGAATGTATATTTTAATTGTATCTTCTTAGTGGATTGAATTTTTTTATCATCTGTAATATTCTTCTTTGTCTCTTATGACAATTTATGACTTAAAATCTATTCTTCAAGTTCATTGATTGTTCTGTTGATCAAGTCAACACTATTGTTGAGTCCCCTCTAGTGAATTTTTCATTTGTTATTGCATTCTTCAGCTCCAGAATTTCTGTTTGGTTCTTTTTTTATAGTTTCTATCTCTTTGTTGATATTCTCGTTTTGTTCGTGCATCACTTTTCTGACTTTTATCAGTTATCTTTATTCTCTTTTTAGCTCATTGAGCATCACTAAGATGGCTGTCTTAAATTCTTTTGCAGGTAATTAATATATCTTCATTTATTTAGCATTCATTTCTAGACATTTATTTTGTTCCTTTGAGCTGGTTCCCCGGTTCTTTGTATGCCCTTGTCCATATCTTTGTGTGCCTTATGAGCTTTAGTTGAGATTAAGATATTTGAAAAAACAGCCACCTTTCTCAGTCTTTACAGACTGGCTTCTTACAGGGGAGACCTTCAGCAATCACCTTAAGTAGAGATTCTTGTGATCTCTCAAACCTTTTGGAGATGTATTTTCTCTGGGCTTGAATGTCTAATTTCTCAGTTTAAAAGATTTGCATCTTTTTCTTCTCAGGAGCCTGTAATATTTTGCTCCCCCTAGTGTCTCTCTGCAGTACTACATTATCTCTGATGCTGTAACAAACAGTGGAATTCTTTTTTGTTCTTGTTGGCCTCCAACCTAGCATCCAGAATATACCACTGTTCCCATCAGTTCTCTGAGTTAGGCAAGACAGAAACCAGTCCCTTGAGCAGCCCCCTAAAGACAAGAATTTGGGATGCACATTCCACTATTGAAGGGAGAGGCCAGGATTTGGGAATTGTGTGTTATTTTATTTATTTATTTATTTATTATTTATTTTTTTTATTTTTTGAGTTGGAGTCTCACTCTGTCGCCCAGACTGGAGTGCAGTGGCCGCTCCCGGCCACCGCAGCCTCGACCTGCTGGGCTCCGGCGATCCTTCTGCCTCAGTCTTCCAAGTAGCTGGAACTACAGGTGTGCGCTACCACGCCCAGCTGATTTTTTGATTTATTGTAGAGATGAGGTCTCGCTGCCCAGGCGGGTCTCGAACCCGCGGGCTCAGGCAATCCACTCACCTCAGCCTCCCAAAGGCGCGGGATTACAGGCTGAGCCACCGAGCCCGGCTGTGTGTTATTTTTTTTTTTCTTCCGATTGTTGAGCCTTTTTCTGGAGAGATGGGGGAGGGGCTAAGGCAGGCAAAATGCACCAAACTTTCTTACCCTCTTCTTTGTGACTCTTCTTGGCTTTGTACTTGTCTGAGATTCTGCAACCTCTTAATTGATAACTACAACTCCCACAAAGGCAATTTGGTCCATATATTGTTGATGAGTCAGTCTCTGAGGGGAAACAAGGGGCTTCTTATTCCACCATCTTGCTCCCATTCTTCCAATTTAGAATTTTAGTAAGAATTTTTGTTGTCTTCTGGAGACAAGTTTTGTTTGTGACTTGAGTCCTGTGGTTATGCTGAGTTTAGGTTGTGCTCTTCCAATATTTAATATCTAAAGGAGTAAGTGGCACTTTCAGCAATAAAATGGCAATAATTATGAATTGTTTTTGTGTTGTTGTCCTCTCTGCCTCTTCCCTTTCAGGAATATCTGACTCAGAAGCAGTTTGGACTGGAAATAGAATCCAGGACCTGGGCCTTTATGCCATTCTAGCTTTCTCAGTAGTGTCTCAGCTACAGAAGTTTGGCTTCTGTTCCTTATGTACCAAAAGAGAAAAACCAGAAAGTTTAGGCCTATTTAGTCTTGCAAAGAAGATAGGAGTTCAAGATAGCTAAAATGAGCTATTGTAAGAATTACCAAATCAAGACAAACATTGGGGTTTGTTTTGCTTTGTCTTTCAGAGTTACTGCTAGGCATACTTGTATGAAATCTCTTTGAAACTCATGTTTGGTTCTGCCAGATGTGAGCCTGCAAATATGCAAAAAAAAAATTGCTGAAAAAAATTCATGTGTATCAAGCTTCTTTAAAATCAGATAATCTAATGAGGTAATGGGGAAAATAACTACCATAATTTACATCCATGGTTATTTTTAAGCTTTGCAAGCTATCAAGCTCCTGATGGACCAGAGAGCATGACTGTGACTCTGTCATCTGACATCTGATACCTACTTCAACAGATGTTTCTCAGGGGAGGGGTTACTAAGAAGCCATCTTACCGTATTTTTTCCATTATGGTCATTTGCTTTGCTTTTTTGCTTCTTCTTTTTCTTTTTGTATTTTTTAGGTTAGACGCAAACAAACCAATACGGTACTTGGAAAACAAGACAGCTGTAAACCAAGCGTTAGAACGGTTGAATTGGCCCATTTCACTGAAAGAACTGTCGGTGCTGGAAAATGAAATCCTAGTTGGGAAAATGTACATCCAGCAAGCCATGGAACTCCATGAAGCTGCCAAGAATAATTATGTGAACAAGGCAATGGAAGAGGTGGGTGTTATGGAGGTTTCTTTTCGCTCTCTGCCTGTCCCAAGTCACTGCCATTGCAATGTTGGCATCTTTCTCTCTCTCCACATACTGATTTCTAAAAGAGTTAGAGCCAATCCAGTTAAGGTTTTGTACTTTTTCATTAGAAAAGAAATGCCATGTGATTTTATTATGGCCTCATTTTCAAAGCAATACATCTTTTAACTGAAAAACAAAACTAAATAGAAGTATAAGATGTAGTGACTAGAGGCCTGGACTTTGATAGGTGCCAGACCAAGGACTAACCTCAGATTTACCATCTAATCTGTGTGTGATTTTGGCTAGTTACTCAGTCTTCATAAGCCTCAATTTTCTTATTTTTAAAATAAGGGTATTATTAGTATCAGTCTCATAGGGTTGTTTTGAAGATGAAATGAGCATGTGAAGTACTTAGTATTGAAAGCCCCTCATAAGTATTAGAACTATTATTATTATTAATGAAACAAACGTTCTAAAAAGAAAATAATAATTTATAATCTGACAGCCTTATTGCTGCCACTTTGGAGAATTTCCTTTTAGTTTTTTTTTCTCCTTAAGTAAATGTTTTTTACATAGATGCAGTCAGCCTGTCCATAATTACTTTATATTCCTGCTTTTTAATTGAGCATTATTTCATAAACTTTTCCTGTTTTGACCGAATTTTCAGATTGATATGGTCAGTGGTTACGTAATATTCCATGATGTGGATATACTCTGGTTTATTTAACTCTTCACTGACTGTTAAACATTTCTGCTCTTTCACATAATGTGTTCATGACTCCTAAGATACACACAATTGAATCGTTTTGTTACGAGATAGTCTTAACAAAATATAGGATTTCTGGATCATAGGATGTAAACATTTGGAGGCTCTAAATACATATTGCCAGTACAAAGCCAACCTCTATGACTGTGTATGGGTGTTCATAGACATTGCTTAAACATTGTTTGAATTTGTTCTCCAAAGTTCATATGCTGGAATGTTGATCCCTGATGTGGTGGTGCTGGGAGGTGGGACCTTTAAGAAGTGATTAGGCCATGAGGGCTCTGCCCTTATAAAATGATTAATGCTGTTATCATGGGATTGGATTCTTTATCAAAAGAATGAGTTTGGACCTCTCTTGCACTCCCCCCCTACGTGATATCTTCTGCCATGTTATGAGGCAGCAAGTAGGCCCTCACCAGATGCCAGCCCCTCAATCTTTCCCTTCTCAGTCTCCATAACTGTAAGTCAATACTTTTCTGATTATTATAAATTACTCAGTCTATGATATTCTGTTATACCAGCACAAAATGAACTAAGATAAAGAATAGTCCATCCAAAATTTTACTGAATTCTAGATAATTTTTAGATATTCACTATATGATAATCTAAAGATCATACCCAAACATCTTACTTTTGGAGCTCTTCATTCTGGGTTCAGTCTTTGCTAAAAGATACAGGTTTTGCCTGGTTTAAAATTCTTTTTTCCTGCTCTCGATTTTTGTGTTTTTTTAAATATGTTTTTCTTGCATTTCGTTTCTTCCTCTGATAATCAAATTTTTTCCTTCAATGTAGAAAGTTATCTTTTGTGCATTAATTTTATCACAAAACATTGTATGTCTATTACTATTATTCAAACAAAATTATTTTCTCAAAGAATTGTTCAGTGTTTCTTTGGGAAGTACCATCTCATACCTCCAAACATTTTGCTATTGGTCTTCCTCACCCGGATGCCCTGTGAACACCCAAGAATCAAGAGTACCAAAAGTGAATTACCTACCGCTCCCTGAAAATATACTCTTCCTGTCATTGTCCTTCTTTTGTCTGTTTGTTCTCTTACTTATTCATTGGCATATTTGCAAGTGCCTATGAAATGCCAAGCACTATTCTAGGCAGTGGAAGTACTTAGAATACAGCAGACTAAGTCCTGGCCTTATTCTAATGAGGAAAACAGACTATTAATGGGTCCCAAATGATGGACTTTCCTGTATTTAACTATGAAAACACCACCACTGCCTAACAGATAATTTGCTAACATTATTTTTTTGTCTATACTTATAGTCAGTTTGCAAACTGAGAGTGTTGCTAATGGAATGAAAGGAAGCCTCTTGTGATTCAGAAGAAAGATACAAGAGGGGACCACCAAAATCTGGGATTATCTTTTGGAGGGCAAGCCCCTTGTAATACAGGCTTCCCCTGCTAGATAAATGTTCTAGGAACCCAAGGCATCAGTGTATCAGCTAGCATTGCTGTGAAGAGGCTTCATTCTACTTCAGTGAATTTTTGTTGTTAAGATTCTTTCAACATGTTTGCCCATTTCACGATGGGTGCTTGACACGAACAATGTGCAGTAGTGAAATTTTGTTTTCTGTTGGGGAAAAATGCATTGTTATGGTACAGAAATGGTTGTTACGGTACAGAAGCTTACAAAGTTGCTGTTCTGAGTAAAACACAAGTTTACAAATCATTTTCTCATTTTAAATGAGGTGAAGTGTCAATTGACTATCAATCTCGTGCTGGGCATCCTTTCGTCAGTCTGAAAAAAATGTAAGAATTCATCAAGCTATCTTGGAAGACTGTTGTTGGATTCTTGTTGGACTGGGGTGTCATGGAGTTCCTGTCAGTGAATTTTTTCTGAAAATTAAGACATGAAATGAGTTTCAACAAAATTCGTGTCTCGCATGCTCACGCCTGAACAAAGGGATAATTGCCTGGGTGCATCGTGCATTTAAGGAGCAGTTGGAGGCTGACCCTGATTTTTTTTCCCAAAGTCATAATCAGAGATGAATCTTAGTGCTACAGTTACAACCCCAAAATGAAACAACAATTTAGCCAATGGAAAACCGCTACTTCCCCATAACCCAAAAAAAAGCATGACAAGTGAAGTCAAATGTGAAAGCAATGATCATTTATTTGTTTATTTGATGTGAAAAGGATTGTGCACTCAGGATTTATTCCTCCAGATCAAAAGATCAACCAAAGTTTTTACCTGGAAGTTCTAAGAAGATTGCATCATGATTTGCAGAAGAGATGTCCCGAGTTATGGTAAACAGGTGACTGGTTCTTCCGCCATGATAACACACTTGCCAGCACTGCACTGAATGTTCAGGAGCTTTTGACCAAAAATGACATGATCCCCATACCCCGCCCTCCCTATTCACTTGATCTTTCCCTGAGTGGCTTACTTTTTTTCCCTGGATGAAAGAAGTTCTCAAAGGGAAACGTTTAGCCCATGTGGAAGAGGTGAAACAAAATATGGCAGAAGCACTAGAAGGCACCAAAATTGAAAAGTTCAAAAACTGTTTTGAACAATGAAGAAAGCATCTCGATAGGTATACTGCATCAAACAAAGAGTACTTTGAAGGTGACTAAAATTTAAATGCGTAAGAATAAATGCACACAAGTTTTTGTAAATAAATTCTGAGTTTTGGGGGTTCCTCCTTGTAGTATGTTTTACTGAATTTTTCTGGAATTTTGTCAATCAAAGGCTCATTTCATTGTTCACAGTATATGAATTAATTGCATTAATTGTTCTATTTATCCTCTGACCACAAAATGGAATAAAATAATTTTCATAAGGCATTCATCCAGAAATATTTGTTCATTTCCCATTATGGATAAGATTTTCTGCTTGGTACAAGTGGTGTCAGGCAGTGAATAACCTGTCTCATTCTCTCTCTCTCTCTCTCCATGATATCCCCCAAGGTGATACTGTATATTAGATACAAATGCGGGTTTACTATCTTGAAAGCATGGACCCAGCGTAGTGAAGGAGACATTAGAATAGAACATCATAAGAGGAGACATTAGAATAGAACATCATAGTCCAGGTATGGTGGTTCATGCCTATAATCCCAGCACTTTGGGAGGCTGAGGCAGGAGGATCGCTTGAACCTAGCAGTTTGAGGCCAGACTGGGCAACATGGCGAGACCTCATCTCTACAAAAAAAAAAAAAAAAAAATTAGCTGGGCATGGTGGTGCATGCCTGTAGTTCTAGCTACTTAAAAGGCTGAGCACTTTGGGAGGCTGAGGAGGGTGGATTCCTTCAGCCCAGAAGTTCAAGGCTGCAGTGAGCCCTGGTAGTGTCCCTGCAATCCAGTCTGGATGACTAAGACCCCAACTCAAAAACATCAGCGACAGCAACAACAGACAGAATAGAACATCACCTCTGTGATTCCTGGTGTGGCCTTATTTGTGACTGTATCCATAGAACCAAGAATGGAGCCCGGTACACAGTGGACACTGAAAAAAAAATTTGAGTGAGCGAAATGCAGATCCTTACAGTAGAGCAGTGTCAATACGACGACAGAGGCATACCTATCCAACAACTGAAAGATAGGGAAAAATGACCTATTTTGCCTGGGGAGTTGAGGAAGGTTTTAAGGAAGAGGATAATACAGTTACATCTGGAAAGATGCATAAAGATTGGTGATGGTAGTGTGAAAACTGTTCTGAATGCAAGAAACAGCCTCGCAAAGGCAGGGATGTGAAGAAGAACATGAGTTATTCACTAGGGAATGCAGCAGGAGACAAAATGCAAAAGGGAATCTCAGAGAATGAGGGACTTGGAACTCTCTGCTGAGATCAGGGACTAATGCCTGTAAGAAGGTGGATACTCAGGGAGGAGTTTTCAGCAAGTGAAAAGTATCAACAGATTTGTGTCTTAGAAAGATTGTTTGGGGAGTGGGATGAGACCCACTGTCGAGGAAAAAGACCAAAGAATCAGGTGCAATGTTCTCATGGAGTCCTTGAGCCACGCAGGAACAGTGCAGAGGAATAGGTAGAAGAGCCTTGAGTTGTTGGAAAGTTGAATGCGTGAGGTGAGCCAGAGGGCAAAGTCGAAGATGCCCACAAAACTTCTGTCTTGGACAATGGGAGGAGGAGAGGACAAGTTATCACTTCCATCCCACCTCTGCTCCTCAGGGAGTTCCCTGGTCAGCCCTTCTAGTTACCTTTCTCCATATTTTGTTTACTTCACAGCACATTTTACTACCTGACTTC